CTTGAATTCTGTTGGCTCTCCAACATTAGTGAGAATGTATAATTCGTCATCTCTGTGTTCAACATAGTAAAGGACCCCAGGTATTCGCTTCTGGATAAGTACAGGTGGGTCCCAAGGGCTCAGGCCATCTATTAACCACACTTCAGAAGTGGTCTTGTTCATGATATTCATGGTGAGGAAACGACTGTCTTTTGTAAGATAAAGGAAAACAAAGTAGCTAGAGAAAGAGAGAGAGAGAGAGAAATAGATCCCAGTAAATTTCAGATACATGCTACCTTCTTAATGACATTAGCTCAGAGACATGTTAATTCCCCTCCCCCCTTTTTTTACAACCCAGCAAGCTAAGAAACTAAACGTGTTAATTTATAATGTAGATGGAAAATAAAAATAATTCTTTAGTGGATATTACTTGTAAATTTAACAATTGGCTATTATTTTTCTCATTGCCCACCCTGAGGCAAAATCATTTATTTCTAAATTTTTACAGTTTTTTTTTTTTTTGCCGGGGCTGGGTTTAAACCCACCACTTCCAGCATACGGGATCAGCGCCTTACTCCTTTGAGCCAGAGGCGCTGCCCTTATTTCTAAATAAAATAAACTTTTATTATGTTTCTAAAACATACAGAAAAGTTGAAAGAACTATAAAGCGAACACCCATATACCACCATCTGGATGCTATCATTGTTAACATTTTGCTGTATTTCCTTTATCACATTCCTATGCATTTATTAATCTTGGATGCATTTCAAGGTACACTATTAGGAATCATCTCACTTTATCACATTAACACATAATGTAGCTTTATACTGAAAAGAACTAAACTTTCCAGAGGAGATCTGAAATAACAAGGAAGAAAAGAGACACAGACCTTATTCTTTTTTTGGAGACAGTCTTACTCAGTTGCCCTAGGGTTGGATTACATTTCCATATTTATTTGCCGACTGTATTTCTTTTGTGAAAGAAATGTCTGTGTCCATTTTAAACTTGGAATGTAGTTTAAATTATTGGTATATAAATTACTGTTGAAAATATCATTCTCCATTATACTGTCTACATTTTATTTGCTTAGAATAATTTTTGAGTTAAGAGTTTAATATTTTAAATAATCAAAACCACTGGTACTACCCTTTGTAACTTTTTCTGTTGATTTTATGATTTGAGAACATTCCAAGTTGAGTAAAATACTTATACTTTTATCTCATTTCAAAAATAATTTTGTTTTTCCAGTTGAGTCTTTAAATCTCTCAGGAATGTATGCTGACATATGAAATTTAAAACTTTTTATGAAAATTTCATATGTTCGGATGGAGGAGGAATCCTCATGACCCTAACAAGAGTATAGCCATTTTGTGGGGACGGCTAGTTAGAGGAACCTGGCCAGAAACCAAACTGCATGATCACAGCACACCCACCTTCCCCCACATACATACTCCTAGGCCATTTCAAGGCCCGTATTCCTAGAAGAGTAACTTTTCACCTGGGCCCTGGCTGGCACCAAAGATCAGTCCCTCTCCAGAAGAGAATAACTCCCCTAGAAACCCCCTCCCACATTCCAACTACACTGACAATGTTAATAAAAGCCCCTTGGAGCTGTATGGCAAAGAACTGACTTCAGTCATTCTGTTCTTTCCTCCTAAGGAACCTTCTCCTTTATTCCTGGACCCGCCTCCTTTCTTTCTCACTGAATGTCACCTCAACTTTACCCTTAGACTCCTCAGTCAGCATACATATTTTTCCAATTAGTATTTCCCATAGCATTATAAAATAATACTCTTTCATTTTTCATTAGTTTGTGATACGTTTTTTATCATACAAGTTTTCATCCATACCAGGGTCTGTTGTAGAGTTCTCTGTTCTAGTCTCTGTTATTAGTCTATCAGTTTGCATTACCTTACCTGTTACAGCTTCAGGGTAAGACCCCTACCTTACTTTACTCTTTAATTTTCAACATTTTCTTTGTTATCTTTATCTATTTTTGTTTGTTTGGTGATGCCAAATCAAAAGATAAATTACTTGGTAGATCTGTGCTTACGGGAAGTAAGAACACAAGTGGCTCTACAGTAAGATGTTTCTTAGAGAAGATAAGGAATGTAGAGAACTATAAGCTAATCCTTTATTATGTTTATTTCTATTGACTCCTTTCCCTACGATTATGAGGTTAATAATGTTTGTTATGAAAAAGGAGCAAAAATCCATTGTCAACATTTTGGATTTATTTCCTTTCAATATTTTTTAAGAAGCATTTTTCTCCCCTGATACACAGTTGATACTATACCATATATTCACTTTTTTCAGTTAGCACTATAATACATTTTTGAGTTAATTAATAATTTAGTAGCAACATGTACTTTAAATTACTCTATTGATTGGTAAGAATTCAATGGATAAAAGGTGCTCAACAGTCATCACTGGACTAGAGGTTTTCGTTTGAAAGAGAGAATCTGACTTCAGTACACCATTTACTCAATCAATAGGCACTATATAGCAGTTACACAGGCCTGGGACCCTGTATATGGATAAAAATGTAAAGGCGAAAGAGACTCAGTCTGTTCACAAGCTAGCAGTTCTAGGTTGTACTTATGAATTTATATGAATGGACTGTGTTTTGTGTAATTCACAAAATCAATTTCAATTTTTAGTAACTAAACATCTTTTTTCTTATTGTTGTAGCTATTATATGGGTAGCAAACTCCAATTTCCTATACTGCAGTGTTATTTGGACATGTAAGTGATAAAGCTTGAAATGATTTACAATTCTGCAATATCATTTTCCACTCCATGGTATTATCTGGATATGTAAGTGATGAGCTTGAAATTAATTGCATGGATTTTTAATTTGCATAAACATTTTTAAAGAAAGGTATACTCAAAAGTATGAAGGAGAGCTGGAACCAAGAAACTCTGGAGGACACTGGGATTCAATATATGAATGTCATTATCCAATCTTAAAGCATTTTAGGCAAAGTATTATGCTACATATATAAAGAAACCAAATAAGAATGGCTTGTCTTAGATCAACCAGACAAGAAATAACTAGAATCGCTAGCCAGACAGAATAGGAGTCTAATTCCATTTCTTATCTGAGGATGTGGGTTCTGCCACAAAGGAAGAACAGTAACTAGAGTTAGCCATACAATTTCAATTAAACTGTAACTTGTCCACAGGCTTCAACAGACAGATTTCTTAAAAAGTTAAAGCCGTACCTCTCAAATTCTTCTTACTTGAACTTTCTAAGCTGTCAAATGTCTGGTGTGGCTTAATATATTCAAGGTTACTCTGAACCTGCCTTATGGAGATCTTTGGGGTTGGGTGCCCAGGCCTTCAATGACCAGGCTGCCTCCTAGGTTTTCCTACTTTAGTCTTGTTCCTGGGACCTGGGCATTTACCACACTGTAAATGGCATAGTGAATAATACTTGCATCAGAAAAATATTTGGGTGGTGGTTGTTTTTCAGTGACTTAAAAATTAAGTCTTCTAATTCTGTCTAGATCTTTCCCTTTAGAATCAATATAATACTGCTTTCCTTATAATGTGTAAATGGCTCTGGAAATATTTGAAATTGGAAGAATTAATATCCACATGCACCAGTCTTTAAGAATAGAATAGCAGGCATTTTCCCTAAACAAGACTTTTGGAGGCACTCTAGCATCAAAATAGAAAACTAGCACTGAACAACCCAAACTACTAAAGTAGTGGAAACAAAGGAGATGAGAAACCTGGCTGGTGGGGGCTCTTTCTGGCCATATTTGTAACAATACCTTTTTCAAAATCAGGTACCCAGAACTGGGCTAACAAGGGCAGATGAACAAATTATAAATTCTATTTGGGAAACTTTATGTATATATTAGTTCTATGAGCTGCAATAATGTAATACTGTAAACTTCTCTAGACCTCTATTTCTTGATATAAACTGAAGATTGTATAAGAGTTTCTGTAAGGTATTTTTCAGTTCTGAGATTTTTGTGAAATGAAGGGTTAGTTTTCTCATTTGAGGGGACCAACTTCATAGTCATAGTTTTAAGGCTAAATTCTATTTTTTCTCTCACAAAGTTATTCAGACATTATCTAAACAGATTGTTAAATGATGTATGAGGTGATAGGACCCTTTTATTAAGGCAAAATTTGTTTTTCATATATCATTTGGAAAAGTATATCTGGTTAAGAGTTAAGAAATTTTGTAGGATAAATTTATCATTTCCTCTCCTGCCTAGTTAAGTGGCAGTAGCCCTATACTTTATAAGGAATTTAGAGAGAATTAGCTTTAAAGAAAAGTTAACTAAGAGTACCAGGGAAAGTAAAATTTTTTTTTTTTTTTGAGACAGAGTCTTACTTTGTCGCCCTTGGCAGAGTGCTGTGGAGTCATAGCTCACAGCAACCTCAAACTCTTGGGCTCAAGTGATTTTCCTCCCTCAGCCTCCCATGTAGCTGGGACTATAGGTATCTGCTATAACACCCAGCTATTTTTAGCGATGAGGTCTCACTTTGGCTCAGATTGGTCTCAAACTTGTGAGCTCAGGCAATCCACCCACCTCAACCTCCCAGACTGCTAGAGATTACAGGTATGTGCCATGGTGCCCAGCCTGGGAAAAGTAAATTTTATGGGCCAACAGATATCATAGCTCAAAGCAAAGCAATTTAAAATTCCGATATTCTAGGGCCAGGCACAGTGGCTCATGCCTGTAATCCTAGCATTCTGGGAGGCCGAGGTGGGTGGACTGCCTGAGCTCTCAGGTTTGAGACCAGCCTTAGCAAGAGTGACATCCCATCTCTTAAAAAAACTAGCTGGGTGGCTCGGCGCCTGTGGCTTAAGTGCTTAAGGTGCCAGCCACATACACCTAAGGTGGCGGGTTCGAATCCAGCCCAGCCCGCCAAACAACAATGACGGCTGCAACCCCCCAAAAATAGCTGGGTATTGTGGCAGGCACCTGTGGTCCCAGCTACTTGGGAGGCTGAGGCAGGAGACTCGCTTGAGTCCAGGATTTGGAGGTTGCTGTGAGCTGTGATGCCACAGCACTCTACCCAGGGGGACAGCTTGAGGCTCTGTCTCAAAAAAAAAAAAAAAAAAAAAAAAAAAAAAACCAAAAAACTAGCTGGGCATTGTAGCAGGTACCTGTAGTCCCAGCTATTCAGGAGGCTGAGGCAAGAGAATCGCTTAGAGCCCAAGAGTTTGAGGTTGCTCTGAGCTATGACACCACGGCACTCTACCAATGGTGACAAAAGAAAAATTCACATAATCCGTATGAAATAAATAGTGAGTGAATTCTGGGCAACTGATACACAGTAGTGTAGTATTCTAGTTATGACGTCAAGAGATTTATAATTGGTATATAGCAACTCTATTAAATGTTTTTAAACAATTACTCTCATGTGTCACAGTCCAGAAAGAAATTTTTTTTTTTTTTGAGACAGAGTCTCAAGCTGTTGCCCTGGGCAGAGTGCTGTGGCGTCACAGCTCATAGCAACCTCCAACTCTTGGGCTTAAGCAATTCTCTTTCCTCAGCCTCCCAAGTAGCTGGGACTACAGGTGCCTGCCACAGCGCCCACCACTGGCTACTTTTTGGTTGTAGTTGTTGTTTTTTGGTGGGCCCAGGCTAGATTTGAACCTGCCAGCTGTGGTGTATGTGGCTAGCACCCTCATCGCTTGAGCTACAGGTGCGAGCTCAGAAAGAATATTAATAACTCAGTATTTGCAGTCTTACAGTATATTTGTATTTACTCTGGAGTTTGAATATAACTAGACTCCAAATTTGAACACAAACAACTAATAAGAGAATGACCATTTTCCAACAAGAAGTCAACATTTTAAGTCAACCAAGATCAGTACTTTCAATAACAAAAGAAAGTACAGCAAATTTAATGGTATCAATCTACTACCTTGGGTCTTTTTCTGTGTAAAAACGTTCATTACGTTTGTTATCACCAAAAGTGGCTCGATATACATCATTACAGCGAAGGTTCCTCTGGAAGGTGTAGAATAAAACATCTTCTTCTTCTTCATCCTTTACCCATTCTGAAAGAAAATACTTAAAGAATAAGACGTAGCCACCAACATACAGTTAAGAAAGAAAAGGGTCAGCACATTCTATGTCTGAATGCCAAAGAAAATAGATGTGCAAGTCTAGCCCTAGAAATCTAAATATAACAGAAGTTTGGCCATACCTAATCTGTGTTAGGTATAAACCAGAATTTTCCAGGGAATAAAACACTACTAACTCAGTTACTCAAGTTTCTCAACAAGAATTCAATGTCCAACATTGAGTGGGTAATGTTACATTCAACTTTAGGACATGAATTATATCTAAATCTACAACTTGAAACTTTAAGTCTAAGGAGATATGGCATTATCTTTCTCTCGTGCCTGAAAATCTTCTCTGTTTTTAAGCCCCCCAATATCTCCAACAAGTAAATATACTTTAATGTTGGTTCTTGATCTCACCAGAAGTTGTCCATGGAAGTTTGCACACAATTACATCACAACTGCCACATTGTTGACAGTGATTGTAAGTCATCATTGTACAATATGCATCCTGATTTTAGAGGTTAAAAACTACAAAATGTCTCAGAATCCATTAGATTAGGGTATAATTTTAATTCACTGCCAAAAATATTTACACAATGGAGCACAGGATGGTAGAAAATAAAAAGGACAAAATAGGAATATATATACCACTCAATGATAAACGATACAATTTAAAGTTAGTTCTGTTATTAAAAATGTCACAGCTTTCACTGAAGAATAAGTTTGTTCAACATATTTTACAATTCCTTAGCAGGGGGCACAGTGTAAGGGTATATGGCACGCCTTCTGGGTGTGGGACTACACCAGGGACTTTACCTAACAAATGCAAACATTGTAACCTAATCGCTTATCCCCTCATTTTAATATGAAATAAAAAATTAAATTCCTTTGTCAAGTTTTCCATAAAATATGTTGCAACCCTCCCCCAAATTAAATTCCTTGGCAGTGACTTTGGGCAGTTTTCTGTAATAACTATGTAAAATTAAATTTTAAAAATATATCCAAGCTTAAAGTTGAACAAAATATTAAGAAGGAACTTACATGCAAAAACTTATTCCCAATAACATACTGGCAAAGAATTACCAATATATAATAGTATACTGCACATCTGGACTCTGATTATAACTCTTCTGAAAATGTGGGCATTATTTTAAAATTACTCATTTAGATAGGCAGTTAAAGAAGCAAGATCTCCTCAGTAAGAGGCACATTCATGTAGGAAAATACAGAGTCCACAAGGACAACTGGATCACATAACCAAAAAAAAAAGTTTAAAAAGTGTAGAAAATCCTCTTATTGTTGTGTTTCCAACACAAAAGACTATTTTGATTGTTGGCTTACCAAAACTGGACACATTTGGGAAAGAAGCTTCCATAACAGGCTGATCACTGAGCTTTACAATTACACAGGTAGATGCTTCAGAATCTTCAGTTCTTATCTTGGCAGCCACATATTTTTCATCTGGAGCAACCCTGATACAATCAATGAAGGGCTGGTCTAACTTAAGTTCCTCCAAATTGAATAAAACTTCATAGTTATCGCTGTCTGCTGCATAAAGAACAATATGACAGAGATAATTTCACAGTATGCACTTTATAGTTTGTTTGGTTTTTTTGAGACAAGGTCTTGCTCTGTTACCCAGGTTGGAGTGCAGTGGTGTAATCACAGCTCACTATAGCCTCGATGGAGAACATGATGGTAGAAAATAAAAACTCCTGGGCTCAAGCAATCCTCCTGCCTCAGCCTTCCCAAGTAGCCGAGACTATAGGTGCATGTTACCATGCCCTGCTATTTTGTTCTCAAATTTTGTAGAGATGGAGCTTCACTATTTGTCCAGGCTGATCTTGAACTCCTGGCTTCAAGCAATCCTCCTGCCTGGCCGTGCAAAGTGCTAGGATTGCAGGTGTCAGCTACTGTGCCTGACCTGACAAGAGATACTTAGCAAAATCTTAAACCACAATTTCAATGTTTAAATGAGCACTCCCATTCTACAAGAGGCCATATTCTGGCTTCCTTCAACAATGATGGGCGCTTGACTTGCACATAAACTGGCATTAGTTATTTAATATTATCCTAATGCTGTTCAATATTATTCTAAGCATCGACCCAAAAGTTATTATTCAGTGTTGTTATAGCCTAGTATTTACAGATCATACAGAACCTGGGAAGAGAACACAACCTTGAATTATGTATGTGAAGTGCCGAGCACAGTACCCGGGGCATAGCAGATGCTCACACAGTGCCAGATCTTGTCGTCATTCTCCCTGCCTAAAACTTCTGCATGTGGTCGTTAACTGTATTTTAGCAAAACCAGCTATTAAAAACTAGTCATTCAAAATAAAAAAGAAAATTCAGAAATAACCTTTAAAAAATCTTTTCTATACTTTTGGAGAAATATTAGATTTCCTATAAAAATTGCGAACTCTGAAAAACTGGAGCATGTTAAAGGGAAAAGTTACATACCTTCCTCATCCTTGGAGCGAACCAAACAGCAACCTTCTTGATAATAAACGAAACCACCATGTTTAATCTGATGACGAAAAGAAACAAATGGTTTACTTAGTAATGCTACACTATTAATTAGCCTTTTAATGGTCTGACTATTCAAAAAGAAGAAGAAATAAGCTCTCTTATAAAAAGTGGACCTGTTAAAGTAAATTAATGAATATATATGAAATCTAAAATGGACCACTTTTTACAATATAGTTGTTAAGATATGGTTTTCATATGTTCATAATAACTGGGGGGGAATTCTAATACATAAATGTAGAGGTAAGAAAGAAAAGGTTTAACAAAATCAATGTTGGTTTTCAGGACTGTATAAAATAGTGAACAGTGAATAGTGAATAGTGAATATGAAGTGTCAGCCATATTTTGGAAACATCTGGTATAACAGAAAATGACATGAAGGAATGAAGGCTGTGTTGACCAGTTTGATGGAAGTATTTCGGATTGTGTGTGAAAACCCCACACTGTACCCCAGAAGTGCATTAATGTACATAGTTACCATTCAATTAAAAAAAAAATCTGCTATCTAAATAACAGAATTCAATGAACAAAAATCAAGTGGCATGTTGAAGATAATCCAAAATAATGCTGACGAGGAGTAACGCTGTGGCTAAAATCAGCTTGAAAACCCAGTCAATAACTTTCTGAGATTCATAGGAGGAAGAAAAGGGTAAATTCACACTTATGGGGCAAAATGTGCACTACCTAGGGCAGTGGTTCTCAACCTTCCTAATGCTGCAACCCTTTAATACAGTTCCTGTGGGTCGCGACCCACAGGTTGAGAACCGCTAAGCTAAGGGATAGACACAATTATAACCCTGACTCAAACTATACACAAACAAAAGCAATACATGTAACCAAAACATATGTACCCCTATAACATTCTGAAATTTAAAATAATAATAATAAATGAACATGGAGAAAAATATGTCATGATCACCAACTGTACAGTCTTGATTTTGATTTTCCACAAGTACCTCATACTCTGCGGGGTGATAAATATGTTTGAGATTGAGACAGTGAGTACTATCCATATATGAACAGTGCTATTATCTAACACCTACATATTAAACGCAATTTATTAAATGATATGACTTCAGTGGCTTAAGACACATTTACTAGTTAGTAGCATAGTTTAAATCTGGAATTCTTGATTCATAACCTCCTATTATTTCCATTCTACTACGTATATGATTTTTACTTATATTATAATCTGTGGTTCTGTTTTATAATCTTATTGGAAAATTTTCAAAAAAAGGACCCAACAATCCCATATATCACTGGGCAAAAGACATGAATAGAACCTTCTTTAAAGACAGACGAATAGCTAACAAACATATGAAAAAATGCCCATCATCCCTCATCATCAGAGAAATGCAAATCAAAACTACCTTGAGATATCACCTAACCACAGTAAGAACGGCCCGTATTACAAAGTCTCAAAGCTGCAGATGCTGGTGTGCATGTGGAGAGAAGGGAACACTTTTACACTGCTGGTGAAACTGTAAACTAATACAACCTATTTGGAAGGAAGTATTCCATATGTATACCATGGAATACTATTTAGCCACTAAAAAAGATGGAGACTTTACATCTTTTGTATTAACCTAGATGGAGGTGGAAAACATTCTTCTTAGTAAAGCATCGCAAGAATGGAGAAGAATCCAATGTACTCAATTCTAATATGAAAGCAGTAGAAGATCAAACACAAGGGGGCAGGTAGGGGAATGAGCAAGTGGGCAGAGGGGAGGAGAGTACCCTCAATGAATCCCAAACAATAAAAAAAAGAAGACAGAAAAATTCTCAACATGTATAATAAATCCATTTCATTTGACCATTTATGACTACGGCGACTATAAAATGATTAAATATATACTTGGCTTTCCTGGTTATTATATTACTTAAAGTGAAATTTCCTTTTATTGAAAAAAAGAATAGACAGAATAATCAAATACTTTTCAAATAATACATAAATATGAAATATTTTGATTTTGACTTCTTGAAATCATTAAAAAAATTGTAAATCAAAACCGGTTGTTCCCCAAAACCATAATTAATGTATGTTTGGAAATTCATCTTAGTTTTGACTTTTAAATCGAAGAATCATGGTCTGACAATTCTTTGCTCTTTTTCAGCATATTTTAAAGGCCCAAAGTAGCATAATTTTGATGTGAGATTATGTCTATAAATCACAAGGTATCTCACTTGCATTTTTTAAAAAAGACATGAGCTATCTTACCTCTGCATTGATGATTTCATATTCTTCTTGAGGTTGTGTCTCTAATTTTGTTCTCACTTTTTCAAATGCATCCATGTTTTTTGAAAGAGATTCTTTGTTTTCTTGTTTAGTAGGTAAAAGGTCCTAGAAAAGGTTTTATTGATATGCTCAAAATACTTTCAAACTAGGAAAAAATCCTTTGCTTCTTAAATGAAATTCTTATTTCCTTCTCATGCAAGTATGACAATGTTAGGTCTATACCTATGCAATAATATGCATTTCATAAATTTCAAATGTTCTTTATTAAGTTCATCGATAAAATGATTTTTCTAAAACTTAAGAATAGAAACAAAGAAAAGAAGTAGAACCCTGATGGCTATACTATTATTTTAAATGGATAAGGTCTTTAAGATGCATGAGACTAAGTAGCTCTGGAGAATGTTCAGAAATACTATGGGAAAAATGTATACACAAAGAGAAAAGGAAATTCTATGAATTTTTACAAATTTAACAGTCATGAATGAGAGGTAGAAAAATGAATGAGAGGTAGAAAAATAAGTCTTTTGAGTTTCGTAAGAAACTCCTAAAAGAAGGGACATATCAAAGGGAGAGGAAGATATTACCTTCACTAATAAAAATAAATTATTATTTTGTCCATAGCCAGAGTTATAATTTTCCTACTTGATAAATCACAATTTCTTTCTCTCATGAGGATAAGTAACCCACAAAACACAATGGTTTATCAGTTGAGTAAATGAATTAATGACTTACAAAACAGGGCTGCCTTTTCAATGAAAGGAAATAATAATATATTCATGTTATAAAAGGAAGAACAAGGAAAAATAATAATCAAAAATTAATGAATACAAGTAGAGATATAGATGAAAGCTAAATAAATGCTCACTGGGCCTTACTAGGAGTGTCTAATAAGCTAAGAGCTTTGGTTGACCCCTGCTGAGCAATAAGGTATAAATCATTAAAATTTAAATAAGGTAAACCCTCAGTTTTCAAATTAAAAAAGTGTTTAATAATTCAACACTTCAGAGGATTGCCTTGTTTAAGCAAAAGAATTCTAGCCAAGATTTCCAACTTCAGCTCTCTGCCAAAGATGACAACTGTCTAGTAATCGGTGCCAGGAGGAGTACTAAGCCATTGGTAAGTATCTCCTAACAGCTGGAAAATATTTATTGCACAAGTATGTCCATGATACTTTGCCAATACTGTTGAGAATGTAAGCTATAAATACAGATATTACAAAGGGTTTGTAATCTAAAATTAAACACAAGAATAAAACAGAAAAATCACCAGAACCAATTAAATAGAAAATTGTCATTTTCACAAAGGTTTTCCTTTTGGATTTTTAGGGATCCTTCATGATATGGATTAGATTCAAATGGTCATTACTGAGATGGTTATGGTAGTCTCAATCATTCAGCCTCCACTTCCAATCATACAATTTTTTTTTTTTTTTTGGTTGTAGTTTGGCTGGGGCTGGGTTTGAAACCACCACCCTCAGTAGATGGGGCCAGCGCCCTACTCACTGAGCCAGAGGTGCCGCCCCATACAGTTAATTGTTTGAGTAATTACTTCAGGTCCGAATACTAGAGGCTTACCTGTTTATTTTTCATTTATTTTTTAGCATTTCTACAAAATCTATGGTTGATCTTTTAGAATAGTGAGGCAAAATACCTCTATTTATAATCCCCTCATATTGACAAAAAGAAACAAATTATAATTCAGAAGTTCACTAGAAATCTATCCTGAAACTATAATCTAGCAATAAGAGTTGCTTCTTTATTTCTGGATACAAGCTGGTCAACTCTGTAATCCCCTTTAAAACTTGTGAAGTAGAATGAGGATAATTATGAAATGTACCTCTCTCTACTCCCCTGCAGCTTTTAGCACATTCTAGGTCATGAAGCTGGGCTCTACACGTTTAAATACTCAGTCTTACTGAGAACCATGGCTGTTACTGAGCTAAAGGCAATAGTGGTAGGTCCAGTATTTGTCCTCCTAAACTTATTTTATATTCCTGATTTAACTTTTTTCCTACATCATAAATCCAAATGAACTGAACTTACCTAAATCAAAATAACTCTGAAAGCAATAGAATTTCTGACTACCTAAATGAAATGGAAATAGAATTCAAGAACTTTCTAAATAATTCCTCAAAAGGAATTACTCCCAAAGAAAATGATTTTATATAACATTCATAAAGTTCTTTAGGTTGCTTTTGATTTTTGTTCTGTTTCAAGAACATTCCCTGAATGCTTTATGTTTTCATTTCAATTTCAGCAAGCTTTAATGGCTAGCTTTCGCTGTGTACACAGCTGAAACTATCCATTTTAGCCAGGTATCTGCATCATTTTTTAATAGTCTAGTTTTTTAAAGGGCATACAGTACTTAATGGAGCTGAAGCAAGGATGGCTTTTAACTTTAAATTTTAAGAAGGTTACACGTACAGTTACCTATCCAATAGTGGAAAAAAGCACTGCTTCTCACCTCCCAAGTGGCCCATCCACAAAGCCATTTTAACAATGAAAACAATTATACAACAGGAGAATGGAATATGTAATTTACTATGGCAAAAATCCTGAACTCTAAAGACAGAAAAATGGTGAAGAAGAAATACACTGGACAGCCTTTAGTCACGAGATAGTACCATTAATAAAAGGCTAATTCCAAGCCTGTGGCAGGGAGAATACAAGGTAGGCTTAGGAAATCTTTGGCTAGAAAGTAAGAAAATGCCTAAAGATTAATGAAGACATGTTGAAAGGACCCAGGGACCAGTATGAAGGGGTCACATCAGCCACACTGGGACAATTTAAGCATAAGAAAGAATAATGACTGGAACTGATTACCACCCACCAAAAAAAAAATTAAAATTCACAGTAATTGAAAAACATGCAAAAATCCCACCAGTTCACAATAAAGAGGGAACAATAACAATAAAAAGGAAACTCTTCTTTATAGAATGATACCAGCTAATAAATGTAGAAAGAATAATATACAGTAATTAGAAAATAATCATTTAGCAAGCTCCAGTGAAACAGATGATTAGACAGAATATCATTAAAAATTATTAATGGTTGTTAAACTCAGAGGAAAGAATGTTGAGTAACAACGTTCTCACAGTACCAAAGTATTAATTAGCCTGTAGATTCCTTAATAATTACAAAGAGAATAATGTCCCTTTAACAACAGAGAAAACTACCAGTAACAGTTATTACTTTTAACTAAAATGATCAAATTTAGCATTATTAGTCATAGAGCAAACTGACATTTTGTGCCTCCTGATAATGCAATATGAAGCATTTAATGCAGGAAAACAGAAAAAGAAAGTAAATCTAAAGGAAGTAGAAGGAACTAAAATTTGCTTCAATGAAATTGTTAACAAAGAAACTAGAGAATCAAATACAAAGTTGGTTCTTTTAGAAATCTATTGGGCGGTGCTTGTGGCTCAGTGGGTAGGGCGCTGGCCGCATATACTGAGGGTGGCGGGTTCAAACCTGGCCCTGGCCAAACTGTAACAAAAAAATAGCCAGGCATTGTGGCGGTTACCTGTAGTCCCAGCTACTTGGGAGGCTGAGGCAAGAGAATCGCCTAAGCCCAGGAGTTGGAGGTTACTGTGAGCTGTGATGCCACCGCACTCTACCCAGGGCATTAAAGTGAGACTCTCTCTACAAAAAAAAAAAAAAAGAAATCTATTAAAAAAGACAAATGAAAAATGTGACATAATTAGAGATTCAAAAAAAGAATAACTAGGCTCAGCGCCTATAGCTCAACCGGCTAAGGCGCCAGCCACGTACACCTAAGGTGGCGGGTTCGAATCCCCAGCCCGGACCCGCCAAACAACAATGATGGCTGCAACCAAAAAATAGCCGGGCATTGTGGTGGGCGCCTGTGGTCCCAGCTACTTGGGAGGCAGAGGCAAGAGACTCGCTTGAGCCCAGGAGTTGGAGGTTGCTGTGAGCTGTAATGCCACGGCACTCTACCCAGGGGGACAGCTTGAGGCTCTGTCTCAAAAAAAAAAAAAAAAAAAAAGGAATAACTAAACTTTATGTCAATAAATTTGGAAACACTAGAGGAAATACAGTTTTCCAAAAAGAAAAAAAAAATGGATTGATACAAGAAACAGAAAGTCAATAAACATAAGGAAATGAAACTGGCATCCCCTTAAAAGAGACATCAAGTCCATATACCACAAAGGGAACCAGCTTTCTTGGGTCTTCAAGGAACAGATAATCTTCATATGCAAATAATTTAAGGACATAGGAAAAGAGGTAAAACTATTCAACTCATTTTATTAGGTTAATGTAACTTTGACACTGAAACTGGACATTAATGATGTCCAAATCTATCAATATAATCTGACACAAAGGAGATAAGGGTCATTTCAATAAAAACAAGAAAAAAATAGAAAATAATCAACATATTAAAAAAAAATGATGAACTTGAGCTGAAGTTTCTGTCAATTGTTTTACATAGGAGTATATGAAATCTGCAAGATACTTGACATGCATTCATATTAGTATACATGCATTGTATTTAGCTTTCAAAAAGTTTTAATTATATTCATTTAAAATATCTAGCTGTATTTGTTGTTAATTCATTTTGTGATATAAAAGCAACTGTTAATGAAGGAAAATAATTGTTTCCTTTGTTCACTGCTTCTTATTCCTCTCCTTTCCTTCTCTTGAGCCCTGTCAGACTTTTGGCCTATTTGCTCCACTGACTACTCTTGTCAAGCTCATTGAATAGGCCACAACATTGCAAAGTGCAGAAGTTAATTTTCAGTATTTCTGTTAATTGACCTATCAGTAACAAGATATAGTTGAGCACTTCCTTCTAAAAATATTTTCTTTATTTGGCTTCCAGGACACCTCCTTGTTTTCCTCCTATTTCACTGGCCCTTGCTTTTCTTTGGCTGGTTCTTACTCAACTCTTTATAATGTTGGCAGGGTTTAGTCTGGGCCACTTCTCTTCTTTAGTCTGCATAATTCCCTCGGTGATCTCATCTAGTCATGACCTGAAGTGCTATGTATATGCTGAGAACTCTCCAAGTTATAGCTGTAGCCTGAAACCTCTTACCAAAACAAGCTGCACTTATATATCCAATTGACTATTCAACATTTCTACTTGGA